AGAGAAGGATTTTGGAGGTATGCAACTGCTAGGAGTTAAATGCAGTTGAGGGAAAATGCAACGCGGGAGGGACAGTGGGTCTTCCTCCTGCCACAGGAAGTGCTCCCGAAGCACAGCAAGTTCTTAATATCACGATACGGACCAGATCGCAGGAAGCCGCCTTATGCCCAGGACTACGGGATGTGGAAAAATGCTTCATCCTGCACAGAGGAAGCAAAAGCAGCCGCCAGCACAGTATGCTCCCATCAACTCCAGCCAACACCGCCAGTAATCAAGGGTGAAGGGAGCTGCATCCTAGGATGCTGGCGGTTCCTGACATATTTTAAAGTCTAACTGGAGAAGAAGAGGATCCCTCTGAACATCAACCAGCCCACATGTCGTGCTCCTTCTCTCTCCATTTGTGGTCCCCAGAAACTGATTCAGAAGCATCACAGCCTCTGACTGTGGAGGCAGAGCAGAACCATCGTGGCAAATAATTAATAAATAATAATAATAATAATAATAATAATAAATTTATACCCCACCCATCTGGCTGGGCTTCCCCAGCCGCTCTGGGTGGCTCCCAACAAAATATTAAAATATCGTAATGTATCAAACATTAAAAGCTTCCCTAAACAGGGCTGCCTTCAGATGTCTTCTAAAAGTCTGGTAGTTGTTTTTCTCTTTGACATTTGATGGGAGGGCGTTCCACAGGGCAGGTGCCACTACCGAGAAGGCCCTCTGCCTGGTTCCCTGTAACTTGGCTTCTCGCAGGGAGGGAATAGCCCCTGAAAGTCTTCTCTTCCCACAAACGTGTCAAATCCTCTTTTAAAGCCCTCCAAATTGGTGGGGGTCAACACCTCTTCCAGGAGCGAATCCCATGGTTTTTAACTATAAGGTGTGTGAAGAAGGACCTCTGTAAGTCTGTCCTGAATCTTCCAGCAATGTTTGGGTTTGGAAAGGGCTCAGTTGGCTGATTGTGACCGGGGGGAGGAAAAAGGAGAGCACATTCCCCTGGGAGGAACACCTAAAACCCTTTGGCACGTGAGCTGGCAATACCAAAGGAGGGAGCTGATCTGCTGCAATGTAGGTTTCTTTCTGGGCCGAGAAGGTGATGCCCAAAAGAGCCCATGCCACTGGCAGAATCCGAGACCAGGGAGAAGAGTCGGTGGAAGAAGATTGGAAGAAATTTAAAGACTATTTACAGAAATACTGCAAAATTAATGAATGTTAGAATGATCTCAGAATGAAGTTAAGTGGTTTTAGCAGCAATGTTATAAAGGTGTATGTAAAAATGGATTGTTAACAGGTGAGAATCTAAAGTTACAATATATTAAGTTAAAGGATTAAGACAAAAACAAAGAGGGAAAGGAATTGCCGAATTAACTAATTGAACTGGAATACAAAAAAGGGAGGTGTGAGGAGGTCAGGGAAGCAAGGAAATGAAATGTAAGGCATGGAAGATGGATTTGTTTTTAAGTGTTTTTTATTTTTATTTTCTGTATTTTGTATTTTTTCTCTTTTTCATTTTTTCTCTTGTTTCTTTTCTTTTTATCTATGTAATCTTTTGTATCTGAAACTTTAATAAATATCATTTTTAAAAAAATTAAAAAAAATAATATAAGAAAGGGAAGTAAAAAAAAAAAAAAAAAAAAAAAGAGCCCATGCCAAAGGAGCCGTGTACCTGGCGCTACCCGAGAGGCGCAGGAAGGAACTGGTGTTGTAAGTAAGTAAGTAAGTAAATTTTTATTTATACCCCGCCATCGCCAGCCAAGACCAGGCTCAGGGCAGCTAACATCAAATACGTTAAAACACAATCAAACAATTGCTTAAAATACAGCTTAAAGATTAGGATCAGGATAAAATTAAATGATTGCCCACGAATTACAACCACAGGGAACAGGAACTTCAAGTATTCGTCAGGGCCAGCTATCCATGTTGGTCCCACCTGTGCCCATAAAAGGGCCAAAGAGGTAACTTACAGGGACCCATAGAGGGGGATCAAACTGGGCCTGGGCCGAAGGCCAGGCAACCACTTGGGCAATGCCAGGAGGCTTCAGACTTCTGCTCAACTCCCAGTGCTGGGAATGGCTAGCTGAAATTCCTGCATTTCGGGGGGCTGGACTAGATGATCCTCAGGACCTCTTCCAACTCAACAATCCTGTGATTCTACGGTTTCGGTGCAGGGAGTGGGCTGGGATGCCTTCAGAATCCTATGCAGGGGTGTGTGAGAGGACATGGCCTTTTTTTTAATGGGTTGGACGCGGGTGGCGCTGTGGGTTAAACCACAGAGCCTAGGGCTTGCCGATCAGAAGATCGGCGGTTCGAATCCCCACGATGGGGTGAGCTCCCGTTGCTCTGTCCCTGCTCCTGCCAACCTAGCAGCTCGAAAGCACATCAAAGTGCAAGTAGATAAATAGGTACCGCTCCGGCGGGAAGGTAAACGGCGTTTCCGTGCGCTGCTCTGGTTCGCCAGAAGCGGCTTAGTCATGCTGGCCACATGACCCGGAAGCTGTACGCCGGCTCCCTCAGCCAATAAAGCGAGATGAGCGCCGCAACCCCAGAGTCGGCCACGACTGGACCTAATGGTCAGGGGTCCCTTTACCATTACTTCTTGACTCACTTCCCACAGCAACCCTTACGGTCCCACCTTGCTCCCCTCCCTCCAAATAACGTGGCCTAGTGGTTAGAGTGCCGGACTAGGACCTGGGAGAAGCCAGCATTCAAATCGCCACTTGGCCACAAAGATGACCTTGGCTGGGGGCCAGTCACTGTCTTCTCTCGAACTCGCCCACCTTGCAGGGGTGCTGTGAGGAGAAAATGGGGAGGAAGAGAACCCTGCCTGCCATCTTGAACTCCTCGGAGGAGGAAAAAAGGTGGGATAGAAATGCAAATTAAAAATCAATAAACAAACCAGCCTTGCGTAAGCAGAGAGACCAGGGGCAGGAAAGGAGGGGTGCGGTTGGGGTGTTTGTGTTGCTAGAAACGAACTTCATTCCCTGCCCCTAAACCGAGTTATTAATGTGTTTCAGAATTTTCTTCCGCCACAGGCAGAAGCATGTATAATTCAGTTTGTCACACGGGCAGATTTCACACCATGGAAAAAGAAACTTGCTGCGGGACTCAGCACCCCCAGGGCCTCTGGCAGGATTAAATTAGCAGCCAGATCACCGAGGCTTTTGGATGGCTCAGGGCTGTCGGCTGCCTTTTCAGCGACAGTCCATCTCCCCAAGTTCAAGGACACACAGACACGTCTTTAAACTCGCAGCCGCAGAGACCAGAAGTCACCTTTATGCAATAACGATCGATCTGCGTTCCAACCCATTCAGCAGCCTCCATCTTGCCAGTTCTGTGTACGGTAAGACGCCACAAAACTGTTTATCCAAGCACAGAACGGGAGTTCCGTGCGGCTCCTATTCGAGATGGCAATTTATTTATGATGTGCTTATCCTACTCTTCCTGTATGGCATGGAGAAAGAGGGGAGAGATAGTTTCTCTCTTGCACACACAACGCCAGAAGTCGTGGGTATCCAACAAAGCTGAAGATCGAAAGATGGATGGATAAGAACTTCTTCATGCAGCACAGAGTTGAGCGGCAGAACTCGCAATGGTGGCCTCCAACTTGGTTTTAAAAGAGGATTAGACAAATTCACAGAGAAGGATCTGGGAAAGCTCAGACTCAGGGGTCAGCAACCTTTTTCAGCTGTGGGCTGGTCCACCGTCCCTCAGACCTTGTGGGGGGCCGGACTATATTTTGAAAAAAATAATGAACAAATTCCTATGCCCCACAAATAACCCAGAGATGCATTTTAAATAAAAGAAGACGTTCTACTCATGTAAAAACACCAGACAGGCCCCACAAATAACCCAGAGATGCATTTTAAATAAAGACACATTCTACTCATGTAAAAACACGCTGATTCCCAGACCGTCCGCAGGCTGGATTGAGAGGGCGACTGGGCCGGATCCGGCCCACAGGCCTTAGGTTGCCTACCCCTGGCTCAGGTGGTAGAGCATGAGACTCTTCAACTCAGGGTTGTGGGTTCGAGCTTTGCTCTCCCCTCCTCCCCGTCCGCTTAATTAACCACCCACCATGCTCATCAGCAAACATTTGCTTTCATTCAGCATTTAATTACGAGGCCATCCTCTCTGTAATGCTGCGCGGAGCGCCAGTGCGTGAACATTTTGCCTTTCCCCCTCCCCATCCTCTCAGCCCGGGAATACCTCAGGGGGTGGTGTGGTGCGGGAGATGCCAAATCTTAATCAGGCCTGTTCATTAGTTCGTAAAGGCTGATGGGGGAGACCTTTCTGGCTGATGGAGCAGAAAGGAAGCCCGGACCCCCCTCCCCAAATAGGTATTGCGAGGACATCTCGCACGTGGAGGGGTGCAGCCCCTCCATCCAGTAATTTGTCTCGACTCATCGGCGCAGCTGCCCTGGTAGAGAACAACCCCCCCCCCAAAAAAATTGTTCTATTCCGGGGTCTTCAAGGAGCCAGAGCCACGTTAACTTGAGAATGATTCAACTCCTCTTTCTAATGATCTTGCTAATCCAGCTATTGATCCAAAAAGAAATCTTCGCTTGGGGGCCAGGGAGCGCCTATGCCAGCCACTTTTGAATGTTCAGTTTGTTTGGGGGTTTTTTCATTTAAAAAATTGTTTTTTAAAAAAAGTTTATTTAAAAAATTTTGTTGGGTCTCTGGACCGTAATAAAGATTGATGATTTTAAAAGTTTGTATTGTATGCCTAAACAGGCAGCCCTGTTTAGGGAAGCTTTTAATGTCTGATGTATTACGATATTTTAATATTTTGTTGGAAGCCACCCAGAGTGGCTGGGGAAGCCCAGCCAGATGGGCGGGGTATAAATAATAAATTATTATTATTATTATTATTATTATTATTATTATTATTATTATCTGTCAAGAGTGCACAAACTAGCAACAGTCTTGTGCATGCTGTTGCCCCCTCGTAGAGGTCGTTTGTCTCATGTATAAAGAAGCATGCTTAAAAGGTCTGGAAAGAAGCCTGTAGGCGAGCTCAGTCAGTAAAGCGCGAGACTTTTAATCTCAAGGTTCCGGGTTTGAGCCTCACGATGGGCAAAAATATTCCTGCATTGCAGGGGGTTGGACTAAATGACCCTTGTGGTCCCTTCCACCTCTATAATTCCATGATTCTATTCAACTAGATTTTACTCCGTGTGTCTGCTATGAGTAAAAGTTTCGATACAAACCCAAAGTTTGATCTAGCACCAAACCGGTGCAAGGAACAGGGTGAATGCTCAACGAACAGGCTGCCTGGAGCAGTTCAATTATGAAGAGTTGGAAGGACCCTAAAGGGTCATCCAGCCCAACCCCCTGCAATGCGAGGAATTGCGCCCTATGTAGCTAAGGCTTGGCAATGACAAACCTAGACAGCATCTTAAAAAGCAGAGACATCACCTTGCCGACAAAGGTTTGTATAGTTAAAGCTATGGTTTTCCCAGTAGTGATGTACGGAAGTGAGAGCTGGACCATAAAGAAGGCTGATCGCCGAAGAATGGATGCTTTTGAATGATGGTGCTGGAGGAGACTCTTCAGAGTCCCATGGACTGCAAGAAGATCAAACCTCTCCATTCTGAAGGAAATCAGCCCTGAGTGCTCACTGGAAGGACAGATCCTGAAGCTGAGGCTCCAAGACTTTGGCCACCTCATGAGAAGAGAAGACTCCCTGGAAAGGACCCTGATGTTGGGAAAGATGGAGGGCACAAGGAGAAGTGGACGACAGAGGACGAGGTGGTTGGACAGTGTTCTTGAAGCTACCAATGTGAGTTTGACCAAACTGCGGGAGGCAGTGAAAGACAGGAGTGCCTGGCGTGTTCTGGTCCATGGGGTCACAAAGAGTCGAACACAACTAAACAACAAGCTAAGGCTCTCTGCTCAAGACTGGCATTGGCCAACTCTCAGGCCTGGCCGTCTGCCTTCAGCTTCTTGAAACCAGAGCCAAAATCTGCTTACAGATTCTCATGCAAGGCAAGACTTAGCAGCCCTATGGGGTTGTCCATGTCTCCCCCCTCAAAGCACAGTATCCACAAAGATTTCTCAAGGGCAAAGTCCCAATGACAGCTAAAGGGGACCACTTCAGAATGGCATCGGAAACAGGGAAGTCAAGAACACGCCATGGAAGCGACCCTCAAGTGCTGAGCACACTGGCTATTTCTCTAATACAGCTCTAGGACCCTTCGCCAACATCAGATGACGTTGGACTACAAATCCCATCAGCCTCAGACAGCACAGTGGGGGGTGGGGATTGCAGTCCATCGACAGAGAACCTGTGTGGTGCAACGGTTAGAGAACTGGACTAGGACCTTGGAGATCAGGGTTCGAATCCCCACTCAGCCACAAAGCTCTCACTGAGCGACCTCGGGCCAGTCACTAGTCTACCTCACAGGGTTGCTGTGAGGATTAAACAAGGAAGAGGAGGACCATGTATGAAACAGTGAACTCCATGGAGAAAAGGGTGGGATTCCTACGCAATAAATAAATAAAAAATTAAACACATGGAGGGCCCAAGGTTGGCGAAGACTCTGATGAAGAACCGGCCATCTCCTACAAAAAGGATTCATGCCAAAATGCGTTAGTGTCAAAGGACGCACCCCCAAGTAGCAAATCCCATTCAATTGCAGAGCTTTAAATTTGGGTGCTGCAGCTGTGCTGCTGCCAGGCAAATCCTTGGCACTCTGTCAGCTTGACAACTTCAGCCAAGACACCCTCGGGTACCTGGCTGCGAGCAACGGGGAGGGGAAATGAATGCGGGTCGCCAACATCCAGCCTGAAGAGCGTCCAGCAACCAGAGATCGGATGGATTTTCTGCAGATGCACATCACTGGATGACAACTCCCACTGCTCCTGCCATGCAGTGGTTGATGGGAGTTGGAGTCCAGGAAGAGAACAGTAGAAAGGACACCCTCGGGAGGTAGTGGATTCTCCTTCCTTGGAGGTTTTATGGCTATCTGTCATGGACGCTTTAGCTGAGATTCCTGCATTGCAGGGGGTTGGACTAGATGACCCCTGGGATCCCTTCCAACTCTGCAATTCTATGATCATCTAGATGGGACGCGGGTGGCGCTGTGGTCTAAACCACAGAGCCTAGGGCTTGCTGATTGGAAGGTCGGCGGTTCAAATCCCCATGACGGGGTCAGCTCCCGTTGCTCGGTCCCTGCTCCTGCCAACCTAGCAGTTCGAAAGCACGTCAAAGTGCAAGTAGATAAATAGGTACCGCTCCGGTGGGAAGGTAAACGGCGTTTCCGTGCACTGCTCTGGTTTGCCAGAAGCAGCTTAGTCATGCTGGCCACGTGACCTGGAAGCTGTACGCCGGCTCCCTCAGCCAGTAAAGCGAGATGAGCGCCGCAGCCCCAGAGTCATCTGTGACTGGACCTAATGGTCAGGGGTCTCTTTACCTTTACCTATGATCATCTAGAGGGCACCATGTTGGCTTCCCCCTGACGTCAGGGTCACATTTTCTTCCACATGCTAGCGATAGGCAGGGCCCAAGCCAAAAAACGAGTCAGAGTATTGAAAGCAAACTTTGTACAGCAGAATCGTAAAATTGTGCGGATGGAAGGTACTCCAGGGATCATCTAGTCCAGTGCAGGAATCACAGCTCAAGAATCGCTGACAACCTCTGCTTTAAAACCTCCAAAGAAGGAGAGTCCACCACCTTCCGCTTTCTACACATGCTCAGGTACCCGTGGTTCTATCCTCCATCCAGGCAAGCAGAAAAACATTATCAGAGTTCAAGGACACATTCCAGCCAGGCATAAAATACTGAAGGAGGTTGGGAGTTCGATGGCTGGGGAGAGTCCCAGTGGCCATGTCAGGGAGGCTGGTGGGGTGCAATTGGCCCCCAAAGCTGAGGGTCTCCACCCTTGATGCAGAAGCACAAGTTCATTTAAGAGAAAGCCTTTTGTGCAGAATTACGAGGAAAGACCTAAGTGGCTGGCTGTCAGATACGAAAAGGAAGCTCTTGCGTGAGAGGAAAGAGGTGCTCTCGTGTCACACCAGAAAGGGAAGGCAGGTATAAAACACATAAACAGACCGTCGCAGTCAGAAGAGGCTATGTTTAATTGATTATATAACTCCACGCAAACCGTTTTTATATAACGCCGAAAGAACTCAGGCACTTATTTGAACATGTACTCAGGACGGCTTTGGGGATTTCTGCACAATGAGAGAGAGCATGTGTTATCTGCAGACCAGCCCTGTGAATTCTGGATAGGTATTTGAGTATATGATATGATTTGGGTTTGCTTCCTTACCACTCAAACTAGAAGGCTAAGCCAATTTAGGGGCAGGTGAGGAGACAAAATGATGTGCTTCAAAGAGGAAGCAAGTTTTAAGAAACAGAGATAAAAGGAGGCACTTTGGACCAGCACTATGAATCCAGAATAAATATGTGGATATGATAGGATTTGGATTCCCCCCTCTCAAACAAGAGGGGTGGTCCAATGTGGGACCAGTGAGGATCCGTGGCGATGTGCTGCAAAGGTTTAAGAGGAAGGAAGTTCTGAAAAGTTGGAGACGCAAGAAGAAATTCCAGTGCTTCCATAAACACCAAATGCTTGCAAAGTGTGAATCTCCAAATTCTGAGAAACTGGGCCAACGGAGGCATTGGGTCACAACAATCTGAAGCTGATAATTCATTGAACTGGCAGCAGAACAGCTCCCCGCTGGGTTCCAAGCCCTCTGGCCACTAGGTAATACCAGAAAATGTAATAAAAATGGACTGCTTCCCACATTTAACTCCAGCTCTGCTAATCTAAAAATGGGGCTGTTTTGCATTAGTAGGGGGGGGCACTCTAAACAGCGTTAGAGGTAGAAAGGTTTCGCCCCCTTTGCCTCCCTCCCCAACACACACTGGGGTTTTCTTGCCTTATAGACTGAGGCTGGTTTTAAACCTGACCCTTCACAGCGAGGCAAGACATTTGCAATCCAATTAACACAGCTTCTGTTTGTGCCAGCAGCTTTCCTCAGGCTCAAAAGCTGCCTGCCCTGCTACATTCTTCACATTTAAAGTTCCTACTGTAAACACCCAAGCTCTGAAGAAGAGTCCTGTGTAATCCGAAAGCTCACACTTTCAGCCTCCTGAAATGTATGGTTAGTCCATGGAACGCCGCCAGGCTGTTCAAAGGCAAAGCCTCGCTTGAGCTGTGCTTTTGGTAGTGAGCAGCGTTAATTCTTCAGCAGCTGGTAACTCCACCAAGACGAGAGACTGTCTTATCCTTTATATATACCCAGTGGGTCACTGTGGTCTGTGGGAGAGCTTCTCCTTTCTCCAAAAATATCACAAGCCAAGCTCCACATTAACTTGGGCACAGGGCTTTGGAGTGTGGCTGCCCCTGTTCTGTCGAGATACAGCAGACACCCACTATCTGCACGGAAATTTTACTTTTCCCCCAATGAACCGAATGACTAGGTCTCTAACCACAGTTGCCCCCTCCTTATGGTTTGTTAAATTTAATCTGCTTTTATTTTTTGCATGGTTTTAAACTTTTTGAAAGCTGCTTTTATTGCATTACTATTACTTAAGTGAATCGCATTCATTGTTCTGATGAATTTATTGTAGTTTATATGTTACCGTAAGAGACACGGGGGGCGCTGTGGTCTAAACCACAGAGCCTAGGGCTTGCCGATCAGAAGGTCGGCAGTTCGAATCCCCACGATGGGGTGAGCTCCTGTTGCTCGGTCCCTGCTCCTGCCAACCTAGCAGTTCGAAAGCACATCAAAGTGCAAGAAGATAAATAGGTACCACTCCGGCGGGAAGGTAAACGGCGTTTCCGTGGGCTGCTCTGGTTCTCCAGAAGTGGCTTAGTCATGCTGGCCACATGACCTGGAAACTGTCTGTGGACAAACGCTGGCTCCCTCGGCCTATATAGCGAGATGAGCGCCGCAACCCCAGAGTCGTCCGCGACTGGACCTAATGGTCAGGGGTACCTTTACCTTATATGTTACCGTATTTGATATAATAGTGCTTGCAGTGTTTCCCTCTCCCCGACGCTGTTGTGATGATTGTGAGCCGCTCTGAGCTGAGCGTTGGAAGATAAAAGGAAGCCCTTTTTCACGCA